GGGTGTGGCAGGATTATTATCCCTGAACGAGGGTGTGGCAGGATTATAATCCCTCCACAAACATCTGGAGCCGATGTTTGATCAGTTTCAGCTTTAGTCTCAGTAACGACGCGCTGCTGCAGGTTCAGCAACAAGTTCCCCTTCAGGGTCTGAATCCAGGACTAGTTTCTTTGACTCGTTAAGTGTTTAATCTAAAAGCTGCTCCATCTCACATCTGTAATCTGTAATCTTGATGACGGCCAGCGGAGGCTGTCGTCGGGTTCTGTGGATTTAAAGGAGACGTGGAGTCCTCTCTCTTCTGGTCTAACAGCTGATTTCACGGTTTCTCTCACCGTCCTCGTTCAGAAGAAGCCCGCTGGCGGCCATCTTGTTTTGCACATCATCTTCGTCCTTTTTGATGACGACCTCGAGGATTCTGATCGGCTCCTCTGCAGCTGCTGCCAGAGCGCCCTGAGAAACCAGAAACTGCCGTTACGTTGGCTCGTGAAAGGTGGTGACGGGGCAGGTCACGCCAGCGTTGGAAACCTCCTGCAGTGATTTTGGTTTTATGATCATTTTCAAGTGTTTCTAAAAAAAACAGCTGGCTTTGACAAAACACTTTGATCTTTTTTAGGACTCATTTCAGGAATAACGCAGGTCTTGCACAGACAAACAACCGATTCGTGTCACCTCTGCTGGGACAGGAGACACCTCTGAGACGGCCTCGGACTCTGGAAGCTGTCCACATCCTCCTGCGCTGGAGAACGTCGGCTGCTTGGAGCTCAGGTCGTCTTCTGAGACGAGCTCTGGGGGAACGCAGTGACAGTTAGTTCAGGGGTCAGTCTTTAGATCTGTTTAGGCTTCTAATGATTACAGTTGGACATAAAGAGCTGTCCACATGTCTCCAATTATTCTTCAGAGACAAAGTTGGAGCTCTTGTCCGATTTGTTTTATGGAATTTAACCTTTTCTCAGTTAAAAACAGTTAAATCTTCTGCACTTTAAAAGCAGTCAGTTGTGAAACACGGTGATGGTGCCATCATGATTTGTGCTTGCTGGACTCATCAGTTGTTAAAGTAAATGTTCTGTACGTACACAGCTCCTTTCTGTCTGATCAAGACACTCGAAGATCTTTACAGCAATCTGTCCCCATTCACACAGCTCTATACTAGATCTACAATCAGTTTGATCACATTCATACAGCTCGCTACTAGATCTATAATCAGTTTGATCACATTCATACAGCTCTCTACTAGATCTATAA